AGGGTGACACCCTGTGAGCGGTGTCACAGTGTCCCCATGCAGATGTGACCCCTGTGAGCAATGTCACAGTGTCCCCATGGAGGGTGACACCCTGTGAGCAATGTCACAGTGTCGCCATGGAGGGTGACACCCTGTGAGCGGTGTCACATTGTCCCCACGCAGGTGTGACCCACTTCAAGCAGTGTCACATTGTCCCCATGCAGCTGTGACCCCTGTGAGCAGCGTCACATTGTCCCCATGGAGGTTGACACCCTGTGAGCAGTGTCACATTGTCCCCATGGAGGGTGACACCCTGTGAGCGGTGTCACATTGTCCCCACGCAGGTGTGACCCACTTCAAGCAGTGTCACATTGTCCCCATGCAGCTGTGACCCCTGTGAGCAGCGTCACATTGTCCCCATGGAGGTTGACACCCTGTGAGCAGTGTCACATTGTCCCCATGGAGGGTGACACCCTGTGAGCGGTGTCACGGTGTCCCCACACAGGTGTGACCCACTTTAAGCAGTGTCACAGCATCCCCATGGAGGGTGACACCCTGTGAGCGGTGTCACAGTGTCCCCACGCAGCTGTGACCCCTCTGTGAACAGCCCATGTCCCCAGCCCGATGTGACACTCGTGTCCCTCCCTGGGCCCAGCCCGATTCCCGGGATGTGGGAACTCCCTGGGGACATCCTGGGACAACTCCATTGTCCCCTTTAGGATCCCCCCAGGATTCCCAGGACGCCCCATGTCACCGCAGCCCGCCCGGGGTGTCCCCAGCGGTGTCCCCAAACCACACCCGCTAAATCCATCCTGCCTCATCACCCGTGCCCTGGGGACAGCACAGCTTGGTGGCCCTGTGGGGACACCACGAGGGGACATCGCCCCTCCTCCGCCACCCCTCTTTGGGTGGCAGTGACAGCGGTGACGGGACAGGCCACCACCTCCCTGTCCCCTTGTCACACGTGGCTGCCCCTCCTGTCCCCAGTGGGGTCGGGGTGTCCCTCCTGTCACCCACTCCAGACCCCCCCGTGCCGTGGGAAGCGGGAGGAATTCGAGGCTCTGTCCCCTCCCCCCCCGGGGTCACCCCAAAACCCAAATTGGGGGTGTCTCATGGTTGTATCCCCCCAAACCTCCCCAAAATCTGCTGGGTGCCTCAGTTTACCCCTTCCACAGGATCCGTGGGGAGTGGGGGGGTTAGCCCCCCTGCCCCCCGCTCTTGGGGACCCTGGTGTCCCCCCCCACCGTGGGAGGGGACACGGGGAGGATGCGGGGGGACCGAGGGACCGCAGAGGGATCCCTGAGGGATCATGGAGAACGGGAGGGAGAGGGGATCCCGGGAATGGGGGTGCTGCGGAGGGGGTCCCAGGAGCGGGATCCCAGGTTTAGGATCCCAGGAGCTGAATCCCAGGTTTAGGATCCCAGGAGCTGAATACCAGGTTTAGGATCCCAGGAGCTGAATCCCAGGTTTAGGATCCCAGGAGCTGGATCCCAGGTTTAGGATCCCAAGAGCTGGATCCCAGGTTTAGGATCCCAGGAGCTGAATCCCCGGTTTAGGATCCCAGGTTTAGGATCCAGGTTTAGGATCCCAGGAGCTGAATCCCAGGTTTAGGATCCCAGGAGCTGAATCCCAGGTTTAGGATCCCAGGAGCTGGATCCCAGGTTTAGGATCCCAAGAGCTGGATCCCAGGTTTAGGATCCCAAGAGCTGGATCCCAGGTTTAAGATCCCAGGAGCTGAATCTGACGAGCAGGGGTGCCAGAAAGGGAAATTCCAGGAGTGGAATCCCAGGATTGGGATGCCAGAGGAGGAAATCCCAGGGACAGGATCCCAGGAGAGGAATCTCAGAAAGAGGGGTGGCAGAGGAGGAGATCCCAGGAGCAGAATTCCAGGATTGGGATGTCAGAGCAAGCGATCCAGGAGCAGGATCTCAGGTTTAGGATCCCAGGAACAGGGATGGCAGAGAAGGAGATCCCAGGTTTGGGATCCCAGGATCGGGACTACACGAACAGGGACACCATAGGAGGCGACCGAGGAGCGGGATCCCAGGTTTAGGATCCCAGGATCGGGACCTCAGGTTTGGGACCCCAGGTTTAGGATCCCAGGTTTGGGATCCCAGGTTTAGGATCCCAGGAGCGGGATCCCAGGATCAGGACCTCAGGTTTAGGATCCTTGGATCAGGATCCCAGGTTTATGATCCCAGTTTTAGGATCCCAGGTTTAGGATCCCAGGAACGGGACCCCAGGTTTAGGATCCCAGGTTTAAGATCCCAGGTTTAGGATCCCTGGATCGCGATCCCAGGTTTAGGATCCCAGGTCTGGGACCCCAGGTTTAGGACCCTAGGTTTAGGATCCCAGTTTTAGGATCCCTGGATCGCGATCCCAGGTTTAGGATCCCAGGAACGAGACCCCAGGATCAGGACCTCAGGTTTAGGATCCCTGGATCGCGATCCCAGGTTTAGGATCCCAGGTTTAGGACCCCAGGTTTAGGATCCCAGGTTTAGGATCCCGCCGCCCGCACACCGAGCTGTCCCCGCGGCCCCGCGCTCGTTTGGGGTGGGGACAGCCCGGGTGGCAGCGCTGGCCGGGTCCCCCCGGTGCGGGCGGGCTCGGCCACGGGCCCGGTGTCGGGGCAGGGCTTCCCACGGGGGCTGCGGCACCGGGACCCCCTGATTTCGTTTAATTCCCTTTAATTTCGTTTAATTCCTTTTAATCAGAGCGGGCGCCGCGGGGCCGGGCCGGGAGGAGCGCGCCCGCTCTCGGGAGACCTTGGCGGGCTTGGGGACAGCCAGGCCTGGGGCTGGGGTGTCCCCAAGGCCTGGGGGGTGTCCCCAACCCTCCCGCACCGGGGACACCCCGGAATCCCCGGGCGCGGCCGCTCCGGTAACGAAACCGGCGCTGCCCGAGCTCAGCGCGGGCCCGACGGGGCTGGGGACACACGGGGATGTCCCCGAGGGTGGCCCCGACGGGGCTGGGGACACACGGGGACGTCCCCGAGGGTGGCCCCGGGGCTGCCACCCCTTGACAAAAGTCACCCACGGTCCCGCGGGGACACTGCGGGGTGGGCACACTGCTCGGGCGTCCCTGCACGGTCACACGGCGCCACTCGCACCCAGGTGCGGCCACCCTGATGTCCTCAAAAGCCACCGAGCCACCCCAAACCCGCCACCCCGGGGACGGGAGGGGTGGCCGGTCACGCTCTGCCCCGTGGCCGCGTGGCCGTGTCCACTCACACACCCCACGGCACCCGTGGCCATCGCCCTGGTGTCCCCGCACTGTCCCCTCGTGTCCCCGCACAGTCCCCATTGTCCCCTCACCGTGTCCCCGTGTCTGTCGTGCAGTGTCCCCGTCCCCTCGTGTCCCCCCACAGTCCCCCAGGGTTTTGCCCGATGTCCCCTCACGATCCCCTCCGTGTCCCCTCACAGTGTCGCCGTTGTCCCCTCACAGTCCCTGGGGTTTTGCCCGGTTCCCCGTGTCCCCACACAGTTCCCGGTGTCCCCCCACAATTCCCGTGTCCCCTCACGGTCCCCCGGTGTTTCTACCATGTCCCTACACTGTCCCCTCGTCTTTCCGTGCCCCGCGTGTCCCCACGCAGTCCCCTCGTATCCGTGCTCGGTCCCTCCATGTCCCTACACAGCCCCCCTGTGTCCCCACACAGTTCTGGGTGTCCCCAAACAGCTCCCGTTGTCCCCGTACTGTCCCCCTGTGTTTTTCACAGTTTCCCCGTGTTGTCCCCAGTCCCTTCGTGTCCCTTCACGGTCGCCCCGTGTCTCCACAAAATTCCCCCACGTCCCCAGTGTTTTCTCACAATCCCCCCGCGTCCCTTCACCGTCCCCGGTGTCCCCTCACAGTCCCGTGTCCCCTCACAGTCCCCCCGTGTCCCCTCAGTGTCCTCCCGTGTCTCCCCGAGTCCCCTCGCGGTCCCCCCGTGCTCCCCCACATCCCCGGTGTCCCCCCGTGTCCCCACAAAATTCCCCCGTGTCCCCGTGCAGTCCCCCAGCGTTTTCTCACAATCCTCCCCTGTCCCTTCGCATTCCCCGGTGTCCCCTCAGTGTCCCCCCGCGTTTTCACACTCCCCCGGTGTCCCCCGCTGTCCCCCCGCTGTCCCCGCTCCCGCCGAGGCCCCGCACGGTTCCCGGGCTCCGCCGCTCTCTCCCGGTCCGGGCCCGGTTCCTCCGGGGGTCCCTCGGCGGGGTCCCCACCCGGGGCTGTCCCCGGGGCAGCCGTTCCTTGGCGGGGCCGAGCAGAAGGGTCCCCCCCGGTGCCCTCCGAGCCCGGGACTCACCGGCAGCGGTACCGGGGGAAGCCCCGGCTCCGCTCCCGCACCCTCCCCGCAGCCAGGCCCGGGGCCGAGCCGAGCCCACGGAGCCCGGCCTTACCTCCACCTCCGGGGCACCGGGAGAACGGGGGGTGCGGATCCTGCTGTAAAATCGAGGAATTCTGCGGGGTTTTCTCGCCCCCGGAGCGGCGAGAAGCGGGGGATGCGGCGGGGCGGGCCCGGGGATGCTCCGGGAGAGCGCGGCCGCTCCCACCCCGGGCCGGGCCGGGCTGGGTGTGCTCGGCACGGCGGCGGCAGCGAGGAAAAGCGGGAATATCGATAATAAAAACACCGATAAATGGAGCTGATGGTGCTAATAGCACTAATAACAGGAATAGGAACGGCACTAATAATAGCAAGGCTAATAGTGACGCTAATACCGCTGATATTAACGCTAATTAAAACAACAACAACAGCGCTAAACCCGACTCGAAAACAACAACAAGCATACGATTAAAAAAATAGGGATTTTTTTATTAGGGTTATTTTTATAATATTGTTGTTTTTGAGGAGCGGGGAGCCCGCGAATCTCCTCGCTTCCCCTTCCCGGCAGCTCGCTCCCGGTATTTCCCCCTTTTCCCCGCTTCCCCTTCTCCCGGAGCAAATCCCTTCCCGTTATTGTTCACGTTAATCGTGGGAGTAACGGGGAAAAAATAGTAAAATAATAAAAAAAAAAAAACCAAACAAACTAAAAATAAACAACATCATGGAAGGAGCGGGAGCCGTGAGGAGGCGGCGGGGGCTGAGCGGGCACCGGCGGCTTAGCGGGCACCGGGGCGGCTTCTCCGCCGCTCGTTCCGCGGCCTCAGCCGCCGCTCGGGGCCGGGGCTCGGCGAAAGGAGGAATTTTCGTTCCAGCAGCTCCCGGGCGATCTCCGCCCTCCGTCTTCCCGGTGGGACCGGCCCGCAGCCTTTCCCCGCAGCCCCGGGGGCTGAGGCGGCAGGGCGGGCTGGGTTTGGGGTAATTTTCCTGGTTTTCGTTAAAAATCGTTGGTTGGTGGCGCATCCACCAGCGGGCCCGGTGGCGGGGCACGGCGGAGGCCGGCTGTCCGGCTGTCCGGCTGTCCGGTTATCCGGCTGTCCGGCCCTGCCGCAGCCCCGCGAGTGGACAACCGGGAACGGGGAGCCGGGAACCGTTTCCGACCGCCAGCACCGTCCCCGGAGCGGCGGCTCCGTCCCCGCTCGCCCCTCGGGGTCCCGCAGAACCGGGAGCGCGGCCCGGGACCACCGGCCTGGAGCAGGGCCCGTCTCCTGCGCTCTCCGCGCTCGGCCCCTTTCGTTCGCTTTATTTCCTTCCCCTTTTCGCCCTTTTGATTTCTTCCCTTTTACTTTCCTTATCCCTGCAGGTTTAGTTCGCCTTTTAATTCTATTTTTTTTTTCTCCTTTTGAATTTTATTTTTTTTCCCTGCTGTTTTCCCCGCGCTGTTCCGGTTATTTCAGGGACGGGGCCAGGCCGCGGCAGGCTCGGACATCCAGCGGCCACTCCAGCCCAAGGCCTTGAACTCCCGGTGCCCGCCAGAGCCCGAACCGGGCACCTCCCGCCTCTACCGGGCTCCACCCGGTGCCCGGGCCGTACCCAGACCCCTGCGGGCCCCCAGGTGCCCGGTACCGGGCCGTGGGTGCGGCGGAGCGCAGGGGCTGCGAAATCTCGGGGTTTGCTTTTGCTTAAAACTTAATTTATTTATTTTTAATCCGCCGCCGTTGGAACCGTTCCCATTCCAGGCAGCACCGGGGAGGGGGGCGGCCGCCCCCGGCGAAGCACCGCGGCCGCCGCCGCCGCTTTTTCGGGCCGGTTTTTGCCCCGTTGTGGCGATGCGGTGGAAAGGAGCCCCCCGAGGCTGGGGAGACCCCCGGGACACCCCCTCACGCACCGGGCCCGGCACTCCCAGCTGGAAACCGGGAGCCGCCCGGCTCGGTGCCGGTGCCCGGGGGTGGCTGTGCCGGATCAGGGAATTTCGGGGCTCCCCCCTGCCCCATCCCGGGACTGCAGTGGGGTAACCCCGGTAGCAGCGGGGACTCTCCCGGTAGCCGCGGGGCAGCGCGGGGAAGCGGGACCGGAGCCCCCTCGACCCCCGCCCGGCCCGCGGAGGGGCAGCGCCCGCGGGGACCGGGGGATTTCTTTCTTCGTTGCCACCTCTGCCCGGGCTGGGCGGGGGTCCCCAGGGTGAGCCCCCCGAGAAGGAACCGGGAAGCGGAGCCGGGCAGCGGCCGCCGAGGGGCTCTTTGTTTACCAATCGGTGTCACAGAACGGCAGGGCAGGAAATTGCGTCTGTACCGGGCCGTTAATTTAAAACCGGCTCTTTCCTCGCCCCCCGCTCGCCCCCAGCCGCCCCCCGGGCACGGCGGGGGCTCGGCCGGGGCTCCCTCCCATCCCCCCCGCCCAGCCTTGCCTCCTCTCTCCCTCTCCCCGTGTCTCTCTCTGCCTCCCGATGTTTGATCCCGCCGCGGCGCCCGCAGGGATGAGCGATGGAGGGGCCGAGCCCGGCGGGAGCCCCGTGCTGCTGGCCGAGCCCGCGGCCACCGGGCGGGCCCGGGAGAAGCTGCCGACCCGGGCGGAGCTGGAGAGCGCCCTGCGCGCCGGCGGCGGCGGCGGCGGAGCCGGCGGCGGCTTCAAGGACATCCCGGGAACGTCGGCGGTCAGCCCGGGCTCCTCCAAGCAGTGCGCCCCGGACACCGAGAGCCCGTCGGGGACCGGCGAGGCGGATTACTGCCGCCGCATCCTGGTGCGAGGTACGGGCACGCTCCCCGCTCCCGCTTCCCCCGCCGGGGCTTCCCGCTGCGGGCACGGGGCATCCCCGGCACCGCTCCCAGCGCATCCCGGGCGCTTCCCGGCCGCGACCTCCGGCCTCCCGGCCCCGCCGCTCCTGCCCCGGCTCCGCTGCGAGCGGCACGGAGCGGGCCCGCTGCCCCAGCGCGGCTCCGCCGGCGGCGGGCTCGGAGCGGGGCCGTGCCCAGCGGGCGGCCGGGAGGGCTCCGGGGGTACGGCGCCGGGGTCACGGAGCCGCCGGGCCGGCGGAGCCCCGCGGGGGACGCGCGGGCGGCGGCAGAGGGGGGACAGCATCAGCTCGGCGTTGGGAGCGATGTCGCAGGAGAAAAGCGTCACGGAGCGGCGGCGGGCGAGGGGGGGTTTATTTATCTTTTTTTTTTTTTCTTTCCCCTTTATAATATCACCGGCTCGGCCCCGGCCGGGGCTCGGCGCTCCCCGGAGCCGCCGCGTCCCGCATCCCTCATCCCGCACCTCGCCCCGCCGCCCGCGCTCAGTCCCCGCCGGCCCGGGACTCGCCGGGACCGCTTCTGGCTTGTGGCGAACCCCGAGAAGTTTGGGGCGCCCCGGCGCGGCTGTCTCAGGCGGGCGGGACCCGAGCGCTCCTCGGCTCCGGGATCCCGGGGATGCTCCGCGTCCCCGCCGCTCCTCCCGGAGCCCGGAGCGGCCGCTCGGCCATCAGGGCCGAGGCCTCCCGGTGCCCAGCGCAGCGCTCGGGCAGCGCGGCAGGCAGCGGAGCGGCGCCCGTGACCTCCGTCCTCTTCGCCGCGGGGGCGGCGGGGACCGGAGCCGGGTCCGTGTCCCTGTCCCGTCGTTATCCCGGGCTCGGGCATCCCGCAGAAGCGCCCCGCCGCTCACCCGAGCCTCTCTCCCGGTTGTCGCGTTAGGCGCCCTTCGCCGACAGCTCGGTTGTCCCGGTCCGAAGCGGGGACAGCGGCCGAGCAGCGCTCGGCGAGAGCCCCGGGGGTCCCGCCCGTGCTGTCCCCGCGTCCCCGGGGGTCACCGAGCGGGGCTGCCGCCGGTCCCGCCGGGGTCAGGCCGGGGTCAGGCCTCTCCTCGGCCGGTTCCAGCCCCACCGAGGCCGCCCCGACCGTACCGGCACCGGGAGAGGGGCGGGGGTCGGTGCCCAAGGCCGGGGCAGGGTCTCCGCTCCCGCCGACCCCGGGGACCCTCACCGGGAGCGCCCGGTTTCACCATCTTGCCGCAGCCGCCACGGTGCGGACAAAATGGTGGCGGGGAGAAAACGCCGCAAATCGCCGGGCTTGAGCCGAAATGCAGCGGGGGGAAGGTGGCGGGACCACCGGGGCTGCGGGGGCACGGAGCTGCCGGTGCCCGCCCGCCCCGGGCGCGGTGCCGCAGCCGGGCAGGGCCGGGGCCGAGCAGCGGCTGGGCCCGAAGCCTCCCGGTCGGTTTTGTGAGAAGCGGGAGGTTAAAAATCTTCATTTTTATGTTTTACAACATATTCTTTTAATATTTTGAGTTTCGGCCTCGCTGCTTGCCCCGGGAAAGGGGACCCGGCCTCGGTGAGGAGCGGCGGCCTCGGAGCTGCCGCCAGCCCCGGTGCAGCCCCGGTGCTCGCCCGCGATGCTTTCGGTGAAGTCGGGGGGTCCTGGTGACCCCCTCACACCGACAGGGTCGTCTCGGGGTCTCGGTTCGCTCGGTGGTCCCGCGGTACCGGGGATGGTCCGTGCGGGACGGAGCCTCCCGGTCACCTCCCGGCCATCCTCGTCTCGTCGGGGTTGGCTCCCGGGAATGAACGGGACAAGGAGGAACCTGGGCAGCCCCGGGGCCGGTCCCGCTGTCACCGCGGCCACTGCAGCCGCACGGGGCTGGGGACACATCCCGGGATGCTCTCCCGGGTCACCTCCCGGTTCACCTCCCGGGGCTGGGCCTGGTGGCCACAGAGCTCGTGGAGGGACCCCGGTGGCGTTTGGTGCCACCCCATGGCACTGGGGGGACATCCTGGGGGCTGGCAGGGGGGGTGTGCACCCCAAAAGGTCCTGTGTTGGTGTGGGGACACAGATGAGCACGGGGTGTCCTTGTGCCAGCGTGGGGTGTCCCTGTGCCAGCGTGGGGTGTCCCTGTGCCAGCATGGGGTGTCCCTGTGCCACTGTGGGGTGTCCCTGTGCCACTGTGGGGTGTCCCTGTGCCAGGATGAGGTTCCCCATGGATTTGGGTGCCCTCTGCTCTTTCGAGGGATTTCAACCCCAGCCCTGTGCTGGCTCCAGAGCCACCAGGAGTACCCCGGTCCCCAAGAGCAGGACGTGTCACCAATGAGGCCCAAGGATCCGGAACCCCCCTGGGCAGGATCTGGGAATTTTTGGGGCCCCAGAAAGGGAAAAGGCTCTCAGGAGAGCATTCCAAAGGCTGGAATGGGGGGGATGGCCTGAGCACCCCACAACCTACACTGGGGAAGGTCAGTAGGGTGGGACAAGTGGTTTGGTGTCCCCTGTGCCGAGCTGGCACCGTGGCCGTGCCCTTTTCCCCGCCGTCCCTCCGGAGCTGCTCCAGCTGCCGAGGGAACAACAATAAACAACGCCCGAGCTGGAGCCGAGGCCGCAGCTGCAGCCTCGGATCCGGCGTCCGCGGCATTCCCGGCTGTTGTTGTGCCGTGGCCGTGGCGTGGGCACGGATGTGGGCGCAGGAGCGCGGCCGTGGCCTGGGCATCGTCGCCGCCACGGCGCTTCCCACACAAAATGGTTCCCGGCGCTGATCCCGCCGGAAAAGCCGCTGATCCGCCTAAAGCCCCTGTCCTTCCCGGCAGCTCCGTGCCAGCCCGTGGGGTTTGGGGTGTGGGTCAGGTGCCACCACCCCCCGTGCCACCCTGGGTGTCCCCAAACCCTCGGGACTCCTTCGGTGCCGCGTTCTGGGATGGCGCCTCGGCCGTGTCCCGCGGCTCCACGGTGGGAATGCGGCTCCGGGATTGGGGTCCCTTTCCCAAATCGGTGTTTGGTCCCCATTCCCACTATCCCAGTGCCGGATCCACCGCCCTCATCCCAGCTCCTCTGTCCTCATCCCGGCTCTGCTGATCCTGTGGCAGCGCCAGCATTCCAGTCCTGATGCCACCATTGCCATCCCACTGCCACCGTTCCAATCCCGGTGCCACCGTTCCGATCCCAGCGCCACCATTCCCATCCCAGTACCACCGTTCCCATCACGGTGCCACCATTCCAATCCCAGTACCACCATTCCCATCCCAGCGCCACCATCCCAATCCCACTGGCACCATTCCCATCCCAGTGCCACCATCCCAATCCCAGTACCACCATTCCCATCCCAGTGCCACCATCCCAATCCCAGTGCCACCATTCCCATCTCCGCCGTCCCCACCCCATCTCCATCACCCCATTCCCAGCCTTTCCTCTCTGTTTTCCTCCTTCCTACCACAGGAATTTTGTAATCCCTTCGTGCCCAGCTCAGCCAGAGGGAGGGAGATCCATTGACTTCCAGCTGGGATCCCTCCGGAATTGGGATCCCAAAGCATCCCAAAATCAGGGCTTGGAGCGACTTCCTGGCTGCATTTTAACCCTCTGGAAAAGCCCCTGGGAGCTCTGCAGGGAGGACTCACCCAAACCCAGTCGGGATTTAGGATCTGGGAAGATCCCAGCGGGTGATTCCCGAGGCTCATTTTAATTCCTGGGAACTGGGACAGAATTCCTGTCAATTTTTTTTGGTGGAGTTTGTCCTTTCCCAGTGGGAAGCCACGGAGGCTCCTCTGGAATGGCCACGAGCCACTTCCCATGGCCAAACCCTCAAACTTTTCTTTCCCTGGATATTCCCAACCTGAAAAAAATCCACATCTGGGAGCAGCTCGGCGCCCACGGCGCTTCCCAAACTTGTCCTTTAATAGGAAACCGCCCCAAAACGGGAGCTGAGCTTTCCAAGGAAATATTCCTCCAGTGAGGATAATTCTGGAGAGATGGGAATTGTAATAGAGGTGAATTTTTCCCAGTATTCCCAAGGAAGGACAGAAACCAAAAATTATATAAAAATTACATTAAAAAAAAAATCTTTAATTCAAATTTTTCCTTGGTATAAATCTGCTGTTTGCTCCTGGCTTTCCAAACTATTATTCCCAGGATTAAACGCTCCATTTTCCCCAAAAAATTTATGGCTTCTATTTATGTCTTTAAAAAAACCCTAATTCATGGAAATTTGTTGCCTTTCCCTGGATATTTATAAACTCCCTTCATTTGGGGCCAGAGGGAAGAACCAAGCCATAATTTAGCTCCAGATTGTGGGAATTGCATGGATAATCCACGTCCAGACGCTCTTTAATTTCATTTATTTTCCATTTCCCCCCCAATTTTTGGATTTTTTAGACCGATTCCTTCAGTTTTGTTTATCTCCCTGACAGTTCTCCCCATCAAAAATTATGTAAAAATTGCATTTTAAAAATCTTTAATTCGAATTCTTCCTTGGCATAAATCTCCTGTTTGCTACTTGGCTTTCCAAATTATTATTCCCAGGATGAAACGCTCTGTTTTCCCAACCCTTAGTAACTGCTATTTTGGATTTTTGGACTGATTCCTTCACTTTTTTTTTTTCCCTGACAGTTCTCCCCATCAAAAATTATATAAAAATTACAGGAAAAATAATCTTTAATTCAAATTCTTCCTTGGCATAAATCTTCTGTTTGCTCCACACTTTCCAAACTATTATTCCCAGGATGAAACGTTCCTTTCTCCCAGTGCTCATTAATGGCATTTTTGGATTTTTGGTCCAATTCCTTCAGTTTTGTTTTTGTCCCTGATGGCTCTCCCCATCAAAAATGATATTAAAAATTACAGAAAAAGAAATCTTTAATTCAAATTCTTCCTTGACATAAATCTCCTATTTGCTCCACGCTTTCCAAAATATTATTCCCAGGATGACACCCTCCATTTTCCCAACGCTCCCTAACCACATTTTCGGATTTTTGGACAAATTCCTTCAGTTTTGTTTTTGTCCCTGATGGCTCTCTCCATCAAAAATTATAGAAAAAATTACAGAAAAATAAATCTTTCAATCGAATTCTTCCTTGACATAAATCTCCTGTTTGCCCCACGCTTTCCAAAATATTATTCCCAGGATGAAACGTTCCGTTTTCCCAACGCTCGCTAACCGCATTTTTTAATTTTTGGACCGATTCCTTCACTTTTTTGGGGTTTTTTTCCTGACGGTTTTTCCTGTTTTCTGCACAGATGCCAAAGGGACGATCCGTGAGATCGTGCTGCCCAAGGGGCTGGACCTGGACCGGCCCAAGCGGACGCGGACGTCCTTCACGGCGGAGCAGCTCTACCGCCTGGAGCTGGAATTCCAGCGCTGCCAGTACGTGGTGGGCCGGGAAAGGACGGAGTTAGCGCGGCAGCTCAACCTCTCCGAGACGCAGGTGAGACCCGCGGGGGCTCCTCAGGGTCGGGGACATCCCGGTGGCCGCGTCCCCGAGCCGTCGGATGCGCGGAGTGAGGCGGCGGCGGGACGCACGCGGCGTTCCCGGCGATGGTTTCTCGTCATCGTGTCCTTGGAATGGTTGGGATGCGGTTGGGGACAGCCCTGAGGGGTCGGTGGGGACGCCCCCAGCCTGTGGTGTCCACTCCAATGTCCGGCGAAGGGTCAAGGAGAGGCGGGACAGGGATTGGAGCAGCCTGGGATCAGGGAAGGTGGCCCTGGATGAGCTTTGAGGTTGTTTCCAACCCAACCCGTTCCAGGATCCCGGGAAAAGCGGGAGGAGAATGGAGCAGGGGGTGACAGTGGTGACCCGAGGTGGGACATGGTGGGGATTGGCGTGGGTGGGGGCTGCTCCCGCTTTTCCTGCATCCCAATCACAGCAATCCAGGAATCAGCCCTGGATCTCTTCTCCATCACCTTCTTTGGATGATGGGAAGGGATTTTCCTGGTTTTCCTGTGCTGGGGAGAGCCGGGAGAATGGATGGGGTGAGCTCTGAGGTTTGTGCTTCTGATGGGGTCGTGATGGTTTCGGCTTAGAAATTTATTATTAAATAGCAATAATAATTAATTAAATAACATTAATAATTGTATTTATGTAATAATAATAATAATAACATTTGAATAATTATAAATATTCTGCCTCGTCCACCCCGTTCCTGCTGGGTCTGACAATGGCACAGTTTACTTTGGTTTGTACAGGAAATAATTCCAATTTTTCCAACCTTTTTTATGGAACAAACCCACCCCAGTCGTGGGCAGCCCGGCCCTGGCTCCGAGAGGTGCCAGGGGATCCCAGTGGGATTTTTTGGGAGATCCTACTGCTGGGTGAGGGGAAATCGGCATTCTGGGATTGCTTTGGTGGTGGAATAGGGAGATTTCGGTGAGGAGGAGGATTTGGGGTGGGATTTGGTCGGGAGAAAAGCGGCCTTGTGTTCCCTGTTCCCGAGGTCCTAGTGTCACCTCCATGGATCCAGGAGGGTCACAGGTGGCCTTGGCTTTGTCACTCTGTGTGAACGGCTTTGTCCCCCTGGTGAGGGGTCCCTTTTCCCAGTGTCCTTCTTTCTGGTGTCCCTCTTCCTGGAATCCCTCTTGTTGGGGTCCCTCTTCCCGGGAATTCTCTTGCTGAGGTCCCAGTGTCACCTCCATGGAGCCAGGAGGGTCACAGGTGGCCTTGGCTGTGTCACACTGCGGGAAAAGCTTTGTCCCCCTGGTGAGGGGTCCCTTTTCCCAGTGTCCTTCTTCCCGGTGTCCCTCTTCTTGGGAACCCTCTTCCTGAGGCTCCTTTTCCTAGGAATTCTCTTCCCGTGGTCCCAGTGTCACCTGCACAGAGCTGGGAGTGACATGGGTAGGCTTGGCTGTGTCACAGCTCTGTCCCCCTGGTAAGGGGTTCCCTTTTCCTGGGATCCCTCTTCCTGGGGTTCCTCTTCCCAGAAATTCTCTTCCCAAGGTCCCGGTGTCACGTCCACGGAGGAGCCAGGAGGGTCACAGGTGGCCTTGGCCGTGTCACTCTGTGGGAACAGTTCTGTCCCCAACACAGGCAGCCGCTGATGGGTCCCTCTTCTTGGGGTCAGTCCCTTTTCCTGGAATCCCTCTTCCCAGGATTCATCTTCCCGGGATTTCTCTTCCTGAGTGTCACCGCCATGGAGCTGGCACTGTCCCAGGTGGCCTTGGCCGTGTCACCCTGCAGGGACAGCTTTGTCCCCTGGCAGGGTCCCTTCCTCAAGGTCCCTCTTGCCACTGTCCCCGTGTCCCCTCCACAGATCCAGGGGAACTGTGCAAAGCGGGAGCAGAAGATTCCAGGGAGCTGGAACTGCACAGCAATTCCCTTTTCCCAGGATTCCTCTTCCTGGGATCCCGGTGTCACCTCCACAGAGCTGGGAGTGACAGGTGACAAGGGACAAGCTATGTGTCCCCGGCATGGGATCCCTCTTCCCAAATCCCCCTTCGCACATTCCCTTTCCCAAATCCCCCTTCCTCAATCCCTCTTCACAAATTCCACTTCCCAAATCCCCCTTCCAAAATTCCTCTTCCCAAATCCCAAATCTCCCTTCCCAAATCCCACTTCCCCGGATCCTTCTTTCCAAATTCCCCTTCCCAAATCCCTTTTCCCAGGATCCCTCTTCCCACATACCTGCTCCCAAATCCCTCTTCACAAATTCCCTTTCCCAAATCCCCCTTCCCACGTCCCCCTTCCCAAATCCCCCTTCCCAATCCCCCTTCCCAAATTCCCTTTCCCACATTCCCCTTCCCAAACTCCCTTTCCCACATTCCCCTTCCCAAATCCCCCTTCCCAAATCCCCCTTCCCACAAACCCCCTTCCCAAATTCCCTTTTCCAAATCACCCTTCCCAAATACCCCTTCCCAAATTCCCTTTCCCAATCCCCCTTCCCAAATTCCCTTTCCCAAATCCCCCTTCCCAAATCTCCCTTCCCAAATCCCCCTTCCCAAATCCCCCTTCCCAGGCTCTCTCCCTGGTCTCGGCGGTGCCACCCACGGCCAGCGTTTGTCCCCTGGGCACGGAGGATGTTCCCAGCAGGGTGCCAGGGCTGGGAGGTCACAGCCTTTCCTTAGGGATGAAATTCCCATCTTTCCTCTGGAGCCTGGCTGCTGCCTCCGTCCCTGGGTGAGAAAATTCCCACCCCGTGGGCCGGGCGCTGTCGCTTCTCCTCCGCTCTCCCCCTTCCCGCACCCTCTTCCCTCCTTCATCCCTGTCTCCTTAAATTCCTTTCCCTGCTTTTCACACCATTTTTCCTTCCCTGCAGCCAATTCCCAGTTTCCAGAACCTTCCTGGCTCCCCGATTTTTCCAAGCCAACCAGAATTCCCCAATTCCTCCTCTTCCTCTCTCCGGCGATGGTTTCACACTCAGGCGTCCCCCTTTTCCTCATTCCTGGTTTTTCACGGCCAGGATGTTTTCCTCAGGAATTCCAAGAGCTTTAAACCGAGTTTTCCAAGCCCCCTTTGGGTCTGGAAGGTGCTGATCCCACCTGGATGTGACCTGGAGAGGGAAAAGTCACCGCCAGCCCCTCCTGTCCCCACCCGGCTCCTCCAAACCGAGATAAATCCGACTTTTGCATCAATCCCAGGATTTTGGCTGCTTCTGGTGATTCATTCCCAGAGCAGCTCCCAGAATTTAATTTTGGTGATGAATCCCAATCAACAGCATCTCCTGGCTCTTTATTTTTTTTTGGGACTGGGGACAGATCCTTTCCAGCCCCTCCCTGGGCTGGATTTTAATTCCAAGACGAATTCTTGGAATTAAGTCTTTAATTCCGAGGAAGCTGCTCCTGACTTTTCCCTGTGGATGTGATGGGAACCCTGAAGGCCACCAGGGCTGGGATTTTTTTTTTTGTGTCTGTGGATGTTTGGGAAGGGAGGGGGAAGGATGATTCATCCCGGCGAGGAGGGAATGTGACGAGATGGGAAGAGACACGGTGCGATCGCAGCTGGAATGCCGCAGCATTCCGGGAGCGGGGCGGGGATCTTGCAGAATTCCCGCTGGAAATAGGGGAAAAAAAGGGGATTTAGGGTCTGGTTTTACTTTCCTGGAAGCTGTTTGGGAGAGTTGGAGGCAGGATGGGCTGGGGAGAGCGGGATTTGGGATTTTTTTGGCTCGGAGTTGTGCTCCAGGAGTGGGGGATTGGGCTGGGAGAGAGGGAATCACTGGGAGGAGAGGAGGGATCAGGCAGGGAGAGAGGGATCACCCCAAAAACCCTGGGATCACCCTGGGAATCAGCCAGGAGTGAGGGTGGGATCATCCAGGGAGAGCAGGGATCACCCTGGAGAAAGGGGAATTTCCTGGAAGTGAGGTTGGGATCATCCAGAGGGAGCTGGGATTGTTCAGGGGAGAGGGAAAATCACTCAGGGAAGAGAGGAATCACCCAGAAATTATGGGAATCATCCAGGAGTGAGGATGGGATCACCCAGAAATTATGGGAACACCTGGAAGTGAGGGTGGGATCACCAAGAAATGATGAGAATCGCACAGAAATTATGGGAATCACCCAGGAATGAGGATGGGATGACCCAGAAAAGATGGGAATCACCTGGAAATGAGGGTGGGATCATCCAAGGAAAGCGGGGATCACCCAGGGAAGATGGGAATCACGCAAGGGAGAGGAAGGATCAGCCAGGGAAGAGGGGATCACCCAGAAATTATGGGAATCACCCAGGAGTGAGGATGGGAACACCCAGAAATTATGGGATCACCCCGTAATTATGGGAATCACCTGGATGTGAGGGTGGGATCACCCAGGAGAGTGGGAGGGAATTTCAGAGCCAAAGTTCCTTCCACCCATCCAGGGAATTCCTCTTCCCTCCCGGGATCCACATCTCCGCTCCGCCTCCCAGTGCTTTGCCTAATTAATCCATGGATATTATTAATGTGCAACGAGTTTAATTAACCTGGGGAATGTTTCCATTGGGGAATATTTCCATGGAGATGCCAAGGTGAGCTCTGAGGTCTTTGGGATGAGCTGGAAAGTGGTGGGAACATCCCAAACCCATCCCAAATCCCGACAGCAGCTCATATCCACGCATCCAGCTTTTTCCGGGAAAACCCCCTGGAATCCTGAAGGGAAAAGTGCCCCTTCCCAGTTTCATTATGGGATGGAAAATCCCAGGTGGAGGAGGCAGAAGGGTGACAGCAGAGGGGGTGGGATTCCCATAAATCCGTTGGGGGATGGGATGGGATGGGATGGGATGGGATGGGATGGGATGGGATGGGATGGGATGGATGAAGGGATTTGCTCTCAGGGTCTGGAGTTCAACGCCAGGCTCAGGTTCAAGTGATCCCGGTGTTTTCCAGCCCTTCTTAAGGCCAGGACAGGGAGGTGGCACTCGGGATGAAGGGCAGTCCCAAATTGTGCCAGGGAAGGTTTAGCTTGGATTTTTGGGAAAATTCCTACATGGAAAGGGTTTCCCAACTGCCCAGGGCAGGGATG